GGTTGGCAACTCTGCGTCGTATTAACACGACGCAAAGAGTGCTGAAGCGTTGCAGTAGTTGTGCGGAGAAGTTGTGCGAGGCAATTGTGCGAGTGGCTATGCAGAGTGTGTGTTGTTCCTAAGAGTCGAACTAGTAAATTATTGTAATTTAAAACAGTTTTGAACATTTAATTGTAAACATTTGAATAATTTACTTTTATAAATAACTCTTATAAATAACTTTTATAAATAACTTTCATAAATAACTTTTATAAATAAGACTTTTGTAAATAAGACTTTTTTTGTAAATAATAAATATACGAAATTAAATTATCTTGTGAACGAAGTTATTTTGTGCCAAGCTCGGGACCACAAATGGGGGCTCAACCGGGATACTACTTTCAATTTTTCCTCGGGATATATGTGTACATTGTTCATTAAAACTGGTAAAATCAAAGAAATTCCGAGAAATAAGTAAAGCACGACAACGAGGCGTCAACAAATAAGTGAAACACGACAACGAGGCGCCAACAAATAAGCAAAGCGCGAAACACGACAACGAGGCGTCAACAAATAAGCAAAGTGCGAAACACGACAACGAGGCGTCAACAAATAAGGCAGCAGTTTTGGGAGTCCAAAACGTAATTATAACAACAGAGAATCACCTCACCTCGAATTCGTTGAGAATTATTGCAATCCGCGAGGGTAAATTCAGCATTTGATGATTGCTACTGGTGTCCCGCGCGGGAATGGTCAAGTCGAGCGAATAAATAAAACTGTCAGTGGTTTGCTCACTAAACTATGTATAAATAGTAGTGCAAATTGGTATAAATTCGTCGGGCGCGTCCAACAATTTATTAATAACATTCCGCCGAAAAGCACTAAGCATGCACCGCTTAAAATATTAACAGGGTTCGATATGCGCACCCAAGATAGTTTAGGATTAAGAGAGTGGGTAGATGACGAATACAGGTTAGAATTAGATCGGCAACGAGATGAAATACGAAACGAAGCGAAGATAAACATATCGAAGCTACAGGAAGCGAACAGAAGGGGGTTCGACAGAGGAAGAGTCAGAGAACAAGAATATAAAATAGGGAAGTTGGTCGCCATTAAGCGAACTCAACTGGGTACAGGGATGAAGCTAAGACCGAAATTTCTGGGACCGTACAGAATAGTGGAAAAGTTGGGGAAGGGTCGTTATAAAGTAGAGAAAGTAGGTGAGAAGGAAGGCCCGATAAATACTTATAGCGTAGCAGAGAATATGAAGAAGTGGGGTCATTCGGGGCGAATGACATGCCAGGAATAGCCGAGTTGTAGGGTTGGCAACTCTGCGTCGTATTAACACGACGCAAAGAGTCAAACTGCATCCTATAATAATGCTATTACTAAAGAAAAATTATTAATTATCAAAGAAAAATAAAAAAAGAGATAATATGCAAAACTTAAAAACCAACAAGAATTGTGCGCTGTATGTTTTATACACAGTTGTAATAAGAATTTGTAATAAGAATTATTACTATTATTACTTTAATTAATTACAATTTAATTAAATAAACAAAATTTAAAATGGCATTGCATACGAATTTATTCATAATTACTAAGTGAAAAAAAAAAATAGAAGTGATGTTTTCTTTATATGGAGTAAAAACCACTTGATCAACAAGCCGGTGAATTAAAAATCAAACAGTTACAAATGGCACCTTGCGAAAAGATTTTTAAATCTGTATCGCTAAATTCCTTTAAAGAAATGGGCAACAAAAAATTAACAAATGTTCAAATAGCGCTATTACCACAGGTGACAAAAATAAACGAAAATAATAAGTCGGCAATTGAAGCTATTCTTCACCAATATCATGATGATCCAGCAAAAGGAGGTCATACTGGAATTACCAGAACATTGACTAAAATAAAACAAAGATTCTACTGGAAAAACATGACAAAAACTATTACCAAGTACGTAAAAAAATATCTAAGTTGTCAACTGGCCAAGACAACTAGACATACAAAAATGCATTTAACGGAAGTGCAAACGCCTATGTCTTCATTTGACACTGTGTTAGTAGATACCATTGGTCCACTCCCAAGAACGGAGAACGGCAATGAGTATGCAATCACATTAATATGTGACCTAACAAAATATTTGGTAACTATTCCAGTTCCAAATAAAAGTGCCAAGACTATAGAGAAAGCAATTTTCGAAAATTTTATCTTACAGTACGGACCCATGAAACGGTTTCTAACTGACATGGGTACAGAGTATAAAAATCAAATTATGAACGATTTATGTAAATATCTGAATATCGAGAATATTACATCAACAGCCCACCATCATCAAACGCTAGGTACTGTAGAACGCAGTCACCGCACGTTTAATGAATATATAAGATCTTACATCTCAGTCAATAGAGATGATTGGGATGTTTGGATTAAGTACTTCACGTATTGCTTTAACACAACACCATCGTTAGCACATGGATACTGTCCTTACGAACTCCTGTATGCACGTATCCCAAGGAAATTCAATTATTTCAATAGTGGTAATATAGAACCACTATACAATATAGAAGATTATGCTAAAGAAAGCAAATACAGATTAGAAGTAGCTTATGAAAGAGCAAGAAAAATGCTCGATACATCAAAATTAAAAAATAAACTTAGGTATGATAATAATTTACATAGTTTTCAATTAGTAATAGGAGATAAGGTTTTATTAAAAAACGAAGTAGCTCATAAATTAGAAAATACATATATAGGTCCATATTTAGTTAAAGATATGGAAATAGGTAATAATATAGTTATAGTAGATAGTAAAGGTAAAGCACAAAAAGTGCACAAAAATAGGTTAAAACCATATATTAATTAAAAAAAAAAAAATAATAAAATCCAAATAATATATATATATAGTAATGAATGAATGAATGAATGAATGTAGATATGTATACTATATTTGAAATAATGAAAAATATATTTGTAATTAAATAAAAAAAAAATTTTAATATGCAATATATGCAATATATTAATAATATATTAATATATACAATTATTAATAATTACATAAAATTTTGTTTAAAATTTTATTATATTATTTCTTTAAAACAGGAGGTGTAGCGTGCATAAGCATACACTAGGTGAGTAAATAAGTATGCTGATATTTATTGTACCTTTATTGCATTCTTGCAATATGAGCCCCTACCGTCCGTTTGACGATAGTGTTTAGGCTGGCGTGTGAAGACGCCAATTCAGCAAATTCTCACAGTATGCTAATGCACACTGCTCCTCCAAATATGAACTTTGTATAAACATATTTTTAATGAATAAAGTCAGTCTTAAAACAGAACTCGGTTTTTCAATCACTACATGGCGACCGTGAAAAATTATAATAAATTATATTAAATTCATTGTGGTATTTAGTGCAAATTTTATTTGACAATTTAATACAAAAACAATAATGAATTATTGCACTTTACTTTTCATTTAAAGCACACATGATGACGAGTATGTGACTTCTAATCGCTAAAGCTATATAAATGTAGGGTTGGGAACTCTGCGTCGTATTAACACGACGCAAAGAGTGCCGAAGCGAGTCAGTTGAAGTTAAGTAGTGGTACTGAGTAGTTGTGCGGAGAAGTTGTGCGAGGCAATCGTGCGAGTGGTTATGCAGAGTGTGCGTTGTTCCTAAGAGTCGAACTAGTAAATTGTTGTAATTAAAAACAGTTTTGAACATTTAATTGTAAACATTTGAATAATTAACTTTTATAAATAACTTTTATAAATAAGACTTTTATAATTAAGACTTTCGTAAATAAGACTATTTTTTTTAAATAATAAATATACGAAATTAAATTATCTTATGAACAAAGTTATTTTGTGCCAAACTCGGGACCACAAATGGGGGCTCAACCGGGATCACTACTTTCAATTTTTCCTCGGGATATATGTGTACATTGTTCACTAAAACTGGTAAAATCAAAGAAATTCCGAGGAAATAAGTAAAGCACGACAACGAGGCGTCAACAAATAAGTAAAGCACGACAACGAGGCGTCAACAAATAAGCAAAGCGCGAAACACGACAACGAGGCGTCAACAAATAAGCAAAGCGCGAAACACGACAACGAGGCGTCAACAAATAAGCAGCAGTTTTTGGGAGTCCAAAACGTATTATAACAGACAGAGGATCAGCCTTCACCTCGAATTCGTTTGAGAATTATTGCATCCGCGAGGGTATTCAGCATTTGATGATTGCTACTGGTGTCCCGCGCGGGAATGGTCAAGTCGAGCGAATAAATAAAACTGTCAGTGGTTTGCTCACTAAACTATGTATAAATAGTAGTGCAAATTGGTATAAATTCGTCGGGCGCGTCCAACAATTTATTAATAACATTCCGCCGAAAAGCACTAAGCATGCACCGTTTAAAATATTAACAGGGTTCGATATGCGCACCCAAGATAGTTTAGGATTAAGAGAGTGGGTAGATGACGAATACAGGTTAGAATTAGATCGGCAACGAGATGAAATACGAAACGAAGCGAAGATAAACATATCGAAGCTACAGGAAGCGAACAGAAGGGGGTTCGACAGAGGAAGAGTCAGAGAACAAGAATATAAAATAGGGGAGTTGGTCGCCATTAAGCGAACTCAACTGGGTACAGGGATGAAGCTAAGACCGAAATTTCTGGGACCGTACAGAATAGTGGAAAAGTTGGGGAAGGGTCGTTATAAAGTAGAGAAAGTAGGTGAGAAGGAAGGCCCGATAAATACTTATAGCGTAGCAGAGAATATGAAGAAGTGGGGTCATTCGGGGCGAATGACATGCCAGGAATAGCCGAGTTGTAGGGTTGGCAACTCTGCGTCGTATTAACACGACGCAAAGAGTCAAACTGCATCCTATAATAATGCTATTACTAAAGAAAAATTATTAATTATCAAAGAAAAATAAAAAAAGAGATAATATGCAAAACTTAAAAACCAACAAGAATTGTGCGCTGTATGTTTTATACACAGTTGTAATAAGAATTTGTAATAAGAATTATTACTATTATTACTTTAATTAATTACAATTTAATTAAATAAACAAAATTTAAAATGGCATTGCATACGAATTTATTCATAATTACTAAGTGAAAAAAAAAAATAGAAGTGATGTTTTCTTTATATGGAGTAAAAACCACTTGATCAACAAGCCGGTGAATTAAAAATCAAACAGTTACAAATGGCACCTTGCGAAAAGATTTTTAAATCTGTATCGCTAAATTCCTTTAAAGAAATGGGCAACAAAAAATTAACAAATGTTCAAATAGCGCTATTACCACAGGTGACATAAATAAACGAAAATAATAAGTCGGCAATTGAAGCTATTCTTCACCAATATCATGATGATCCAGCAAAAGGAGGTCATACTGGAATTACCAGAACATTGACTAAAATAAAACAAAGATTCTACTGGAAAAACATGACAAAAACTATTACCAAGTACGTAAAAAAATATCTAAGTTGTCAACTGGCCAAGACAACTAGACATACAAAAATGCATTTAACGGAAGTGCAAACGCCTATGTCTCCATTTGACACTGTGTTAGTAGATACCATTGGTCCACTCCCAAGAACGGAGAACGGCAATGAGTATGCAATCACATTAATATGTGACCTAACAAAATATTTGGTAACTATTCCAGTTCCAAATAAAAGTGCCAAGACTATAGAGAAAGCAATTTTCGAAAATTTTATCTTACAGTACGGACCCATGAAACGGTTTCTAACTGACATGGGTACAGAGTATAAAAATCAAATTATGAACGATTTATGTAAATATCTGAATATCGAGAATATTACATCAACAGCCCACCATCATCAAACGCTAGGTACTGTAGAACGCAGTCACCGCACGTTTAATGAATATATAAGATCTTACATCTCAGTCAATAGAGATGATTGGGATGTTTGGATTAAGTACTTCACGTATTGCTTTAACACAACACCATCGTTAGCACATGGATACTGTCCTTACGAACTCCTGTATGCACGTATCCCAAGGAAATTCAATTATTTCAATAGTGGTAATATAGAACCACTATACAATATAGAAGATTATGCTAAAGAAAGCAAATACAGATTAGAAGTAGCTTATGAAAGAGCAAGAAAAATGCTCGATACATCAAAATTAAAAAATAAACTTAGGTATGATAATAATTTACATAGTTTTCAATTAGTAATAGGAGATAAGGTTTTATTAAAAAACGAAGTAGCTCATAAATTAGAAAATACATATATAGGTCCATATTTAGTTAAAGATATGGAAATAGGTAATAATATAGTTATAGTAGATAGTAAAGGTAAAGCACAAAAAGTGCACAAAAATAGGTTAAAACCATATATTAATTAAAAAAAAAAAAATAATAAAATCCAAATAATATATATATATAGTAATGAATGAATGAATGAATGAATGTAGATATGTATACTATATTTGAAATAATGAAAAATATATTTGTAATTAAATAAAAAAAAAATTTTAATATGCAATATATGCAATATATTAATAATATATTAATATATACAATTATTAATAATTACATAAAATTTTGTTTAAAATTTTATTATATTATTTCTTTAAAACAGGAGGTGTAGCGTGCATAAGCATACACTAGGTGAGTAAATAAGTATGCTGATATTTATTGTACCTTTATTGCACTCTTGCAATATGAGCCCCTACCGTCCGTTTGACGATAGTGTTTGGGCTGGCGTGTGAAGACGCCAATTCAGCAAATTCTCACAGTATGCTAATGCACACTGCTCCTCCTGCTCCTGAATTTTGTATAAACATATTTTTAATGAATAAAGTCAGTCTTAAAACAGAACTCGGTTTTTCAATCACTACATGGCGACCGTGAAAAATTATAATAAATTATATTAAATTCATTGTGGTATTTAGTGCAAATTTTAATTGACAATTTAATACAAAAACAATAATGAATTATTGCACTTTACTTTTCATTTAAAGCACACATGATGACGAGTATGTGACTTCTAATCGCTAAAGCTATATAAATGTAGGGTTGGCAACTCTGCGTCGTATTAACACGACGCAAAGAGTGCCGAAGCGAGTCAGTTGAAGTTAAGTAGTGGTACTGAGTAGTTGTGCGGAGAAGTTGTGCGAGGCAATCGTGCGAGTGGTTATGCAGAGTGTGCGTTGTTCCTAAGAGTCGAACTAGTAAATTGTTGTAATTAAAAACAGTTTTGAACATTTAATTGTAAACATTTGAATAATTAACTTTTATAAATAACTTTTATAAATAAGACTTTTATAATTAAGACTTTCGTAAATAAGACTATTTTTTTTAAATAATAAATATACGAAATTAAATTATCTTATGAACAAAGTTATTTTGTGCCAAACTCGGGACCACAAATGGGGGCTCAACCGGGATCACTACTTTCAATTTTTCCTCGGGATATATGTGTACATTGTTCACTAAAACTGGTAAAATCAAAGAAATTCCGAGGAAATAAGTAAAGCACGACAACGAGGCGTCAACAAATAAGTAAAGCACGACAACGAGGCGTCAACAAATAAGCAAAGCGCGAAACACGACAACGAGGCGTCAACAAATAAGCAAAGCGCGAAACACGACAACGAGGCGTCAACAAATAAGCAGCAGTTTTTGGGAGTCCAAAACGTATTATAACAGACAGAGGATCAGCCTTCACCTCGAATTCGTTTGAGAATTATTGCATCCGCGAGGGTATTCAGCATTTGATGATTGCTACTGGTGTCCCGCGCGGGAATGGTCAAGTCGAGCGAATAAATAAAACTGTCAGTGGTTTGCTCACTAAACTATGTATAAATAGTAGTGCAAATTGGTATAAATTCGTCGTGCGCGTCCAACAATTTATTAATAACATTCCGCCGAAAAGCACTAAGCATGCACCGTTTAAAATATTAACAGGGTTCGATATGCGCACCCAAGATAGTTTAGGATTAAGAGAGTGGGTAGATGACGAATACAGGTTAGAATTAGATC